CAGTCAGCCTAACCTCACAGCAACCTCAACCTCCTGGGCTTCAAAGCAACTTCTGCCCTCAGCCTCTGAGTAGCTGAGGTCTATAGGCATGTGCCACCATCGCCTGGCCTAATTTTGTTTATATATAGTTTTTAGTTGGCCATTAATTTCTTTCTATTTATAGTAGAGACGGGTCTCGCTCTTGCTCAGGACTGGTTTCAGAACTCCTCGAACCTCGGAGCGATCGGCCTGCCTTGGCCTCCTAGAGTGCTAGGCATTACAGGCCATGAAACTACCATAGCCCCTGCCCAGAAGTTTTTTTAGTTTCTACCGATTATGTTATCACTCTATGCACATTGGTAGGACATGGAAGGTAAACATCAAGTACTTTCAGGGAAGTAGCATATTTATTACAGGTTATAGCTCATAGAGTATAGTGATATGGGATTGAATTTCCACAGCACTCTAGCCCAGGCAACAGAGTGAGTCTCTGTTAAAAAAAACAAAAAACTTCTGCTATGGTGTTTTATGATACATGAATCATTACACTAAGAAGCAGATTTGTAACAAAAGAAATTTCATTACTGTGTAAAAAAATCCTTTGTTAATTGTTATCCTTATGGTTGGTGAATACATTTTGATAACTTAAAGAACTGCCTTTTGTTACTTGCCTTTTGTTTCAGCCTACTATATGTAAGGACAGTCAATACAGAAGAACTCAGACTATAAAAACAATCTGTCAAACTAAGGTAACATGAAATTAATACTTAATAAGATATAACTCTTACTGTGTATCCTTCAAGTCTAATTCTGCCACAGCAGTGGCAAAAGGAACAAGTTTATCATGGTGCAGCAGCAATCGTACAAGAGGCAAAACAGCATCATTTTTATCTCGACATATTTCACCCAAAATGTAAGCAGCTGAGGCAGATATTGGCTAGAATATAGAAAGGTGGAAAACAAGCACAAAATCAAGGAAACATGATTAAATGTTCAATCACTAACCTGTAATTAAAATATGTTCATGAACTAAAACTATTATACATAATAATATTTAATTTTTAACATTTTTATCAGAGCTAATATTTGGAGCACACATTGGAATCACAGTAAATAACACACCCACAAACACACATATTTACTGTATTAATAAGACTTGATACTCTAAATCTTTTCCTCATCATTTGCAGAATTATTTTAGCCTTTTTATATTAAATCATATCCTTAAGATTGTCAATGTACCTGAACATCTGGTGATTTTAGCAGCAAAGTTTTCAAAGGACCATAGTACTCTGATGGAAGCACGTAGTCTTCTGTATAACATATATTTAATCGGAGAGACCCCAGGTCATCAGTTTTAGATGACTTGTTGCCATTGTCTCTGGGCTGTAGCAAGTACCTAAAGTAAAAATATAATCAATTCCATGAGATGGTAATGAGCATCCAAGCCAGTGAGGTAAGTAAACAGCTAAGCTATAACCAAAACTAAACCAAAAATGTCAACTTAGTATTTACAGTTAGGGCACTTCATAAGTAACAGGCTTCTCATCTTCAGAAACTTATTATTATTTATATATTGGACTAGAAAGCTGTAAATAGATTTTTTTTATTCAGGAAACAAAAAATATAGATAATACAAAAATTAAGATCTCAAAGGGGTTGTATAAAAGTATGATTAGCTTGCAAGTTTAGAAAAAAATAACAAAAGGTAAAACATTTAAAATCCTGTGTTATCAAAAATAATTCTTTACCAACTAAATTTAAGAAACAAACATTTAGTTGAAATAGATAAGACATACTAGAAGGCATAAGTGACCTTGTTTTAAAGTAAGTTTTATATGTAAAAATTTGAACTTAAGTCTGTATTACCAAAACCAGAAATTGAACAGTTTTTCAAATATACTTTTTATCAGGGGAATTTAAAAATACATGTAAAAGTAAAGAGAATAGTAGGCCCACATACCCATTACCTAGCTTTAACAAGTATCAACTCAAGACTAATCATATTTTAGCCATATCTTCAACCATTCTCCTATCCCACTCCTGCATTATTTTAAAGCAATTTCCACGTATCTTAAAATTTCATATATCATTTTAAAAAAATCATTATTATTCAGTATTCAAATTCTCCCCAACTTATAAATGATTTTCAACACTGTGCTCAAATCTAAATAATGTCCATAGACTATAATTGGTTAACAGCTTTCTTAAGTCTCTGTTAATTTATAGATTATCCCCAAACTCCCAAGCAATCAGGTAGTTCGTCCTGATCCACATTTGAGACTGTGTTAACTCTGTTGCTATCTACCTTCAGAATGTCATTACCATATTCCTTTGTCTTCTCTGTATATCCTATATATTGGTAGTTTGATCTGGAGGCTTGGTTAGATTCAGATTTGATGTTCTGGCAAGAACACTTCATTGATAGTGTTGTATAGTTCCACCAAGAGGCACAAAAGTCTGTTTCTCTTTTTGCAATATTAGTAGCCACTGATGATCACTGCCTAGAGCCATTAATCATCAAAATGATAATTTTATAATTCTTTCATTCTTCCCTTCACTTATTTAGCCGAAATGCTTTTTATAAAGGAAAGTATCAGTAGTTTTGATACTTAATTTTTATCACTTATGGCCTCCTTTAATACACTAAATTTGTTTAAAAATGGAAGAGAGAATTTAATAGAATATTTATTAGCTTGGAGAAAGAAAAGATAAAGACAGAAAAGAGAACCAGAGAATTAATCAAGCAAAATGTAAAGGATGAAGAGATGGATAATAGAGAAGAAAAAATTACATGGAAATTATGTCACTACTCCCCAAAAGAGGAACTCCTGTCTTAGAAGGCCAAACTTCAGAATGTCATTCTCTGATTTGAGAAAGAGTGATTTAAAGATATGGCCAATGAGATAACAGAAAATAAGCCTGTTTGATTCAGAAGTACCTCTAAGGGAGTTTAGTTTGCTGATCACCAAACTTCCTGACAAGGGCATTACTTTGGTCAATTTCCTACAATCCAGGGTATGTTCTGCAGCCTTGCAAATTCAGACACCTAGTTTTTAATCAGCACATTTAAAAGTGAACCTGAATGTAGTGATAGCACAGAATCTGATACACTTAAAGCAGAAGGCTAAATACTAAATTTATGAAAAAAAAATACAAATAGTTAAGTGGCAAAGGTACCTACATTTTTTTGACAACCAATGCATTTTATTATGGAAATGCTCATTCACAACAGTAAAGAGAAGAATGATGACGATAATAATAATGAACTCCCTTACCACCAACTCCATGTACTCGTCACTTGGCTGCAACAATTGTCATCATTTACCATAGTGTTTTCTTCTGTATCCCTTACTTTGTTGTTGCTTTTTTTCCCCAAATAGAGACAGAGTCTTGCTCTATAGCCCAGGCTGGAGTGCAGTGGTATGATCATAGCTCACTGCAGCCTCGAATTCCTGGACTCAAGGTATCTTCCTGCTTCAGCCTTCTGAAGAGCTGGGACTACAGGCATGAACCACCATGCCTAGCTAGTTTTTCTTATTTTTTGTAGAGATCATGTAGAGATCATTTTTGTAGAGATCATCTTTTTGTCTCACCATGTTGCCCAGGCTGGTCTCAAACTCTTGGCCTCAAGCAATTCTCCCACCTCAGCCTCCCAAAGTGCTGGGATTACGAGGTGTGAGTCGCCATGCCCAGTCCTTTTAAATAATATTTTATAAGCAAGGGATACTCAAATCTTTGCCAACAGCCTAAAACAGAGATTGTTTCTGAGTTTTAAATATATTAAAAAATATACCAAAGTACAAATTAGAGTCAGTTTGGCTCAAATCCCAGCTGTGTGAAGTTGGGCAAGTCGCTCCATTTCTCTGTGCTTGTTTTCCTCATCTGTTAATTAAGGGGTATCTTACTCATTTAATCCCCACAACAACCCTAAAGAGGTTAATAAAGTAAAGCACTTAGAATTGTAACTGGCACACAGCAAACATTATGTAAATGCTATTTATATATATAAAACATCTATATATGCAGTATATAACTTTTACCACCTAAATATATGAGCAATAATTATAGTTATCTGTATAACTATATAAATGTGATTATTATTTTAAAATATTATTACAAAGTCTCAATTTAATAAGCCACCTGAAGGATCCCTGTGAACTAAGTAATCCTCTGTATGAATCAGAGATAAAAAGCAAAAGCAAACAGGTTGAGTAACATGTCCAAGGTCACACAGATAGTTAATGGCAGAGAGAGGATTTGAACAAAGGCAATAATTAAATATTAATACTACCAAGAGTCAACAAATGTTTATGAAGTTCTACTATAGTAAATGAAAAAAATCAAAGTATAGAACATGATACAGTATGTGTCCATTTGTGTAAAGAAGGGGGAAAAAGTTACATATGTATTTTCCTGAATGTATATAAAATATTTTCTCAGAATATCAAAAACAGAGGCTGCTTTAGAAGAGGGAAACTGAATAGCTGGGGGTCAGAGGCAGGAGACAGATTTTTACCTTTGACCCATGAACCATAAGAGCATATTATAAAATTCCATTATCTACATAGGTTAAAGTAAAAACTAGCTAATATCAACACTAACAAGGTAATCCTAACATCTGAGAGAAGTACATGAAAAAACACACATCACTACTAAGGAATTAAATAGCTAAGAATGGAATGGGAAGGCGACTGAATCATGCTATAATTTGAGAATACAATTAAATTGGAACCATCAAAAATCAGTTTTTTAGAAGACTATCATAGACAAATACTAAGGGAAATTATGCAAAAAGGAAAGCACAATGACATTTTTCAAACCAAATTATTCTTTCCTAATATCAAGATTAGAAAGAATATGCCTGAAATCCCAAGGGTAAATAAAATCTTTTCTTGAGTTTTCATGCAGTTACCATCAATCCCACAAGGGGATGCTACAGCTCTACAATTGAGGAAGGAGGCTAAGAGTTTTACTTCTAATGTTAAAAGGAAATGGCATTCACATTTTTATATTTCCTTACACCTATGGAAGTATAAATGAATTAGCAGATGTTTATATCTTGCTGTATAAATTTTAGCAATTATACTTTGGGCAGGTTACTTAAAAATATCTATATTATAGGCCAAAAAAAAAAAAAAAAAA